GATAACCGCCATTATCCGACCATAATTTGTGGAGTTATGCCCCTTTATGGACTTGCCGAAACAGTGTCCGCTCGATATCTCGAGTAATTATTAACGGATTAACTTCAAACTTTACAACAAGGTTAATTACCATGTAACCTCGGACATGTTCAATAACCGCCATTATCCGACTATAATTTGTGGAGTTATGCCCCTTTATGGACTTGCCGAAACAGTGTCCGCTCGATATCTCAAGAAATTATTAACGGATTAACTTCAAACTTGACAACAAGGTTAATTACCATGAAAGCTCGGACAAGTTCGATAACCGCCATTATCCGACAATAATTTGTGGAGTTATGCCCCTTTACTTGCCGAAACATTGTCCGCTCGATATCTCGAGTAATTATAAACGGATTAACTTCAAACTTCACAACAAGGTTAATTACCATGAAACCTTGGACAAGTTTGATAACCGCCATTATCTGACTGTAATTATTGGAGTTATTCCCCTTGGTTTCATTAATGCGATGCATGTGTTCCATGATGTTAAATTGCACTCATGGATCTACCATTTATGTTGAATGATTTCTCTTTCAATATCAATTACTCACAAATACTTCATATATTTCAATCATACAAACAACTGCTCATTCAATGTGTGACGGGCGTATTATATACCGCTTGCGGTAACCTTGTTTATTACTATTAATAACCCATTTTAATGTAAATCAGTTTATGAACATACACATGTAACAAATAGGTGACTTGTACATGACAGACAGCTGGCTAGTTGAACTATTGCGAACAACCCAGCCCCACGAATGATACCTTACGGTCTGTACAAGTGGCGACAGAGGTTGACTGTTTATCATGTGGATAATTTACCAGAGTCATTGGTCAGTCTGGACACACTCCTTACTGGGTAACAGGAAACTATAAAAGGGTGATAGTGAGACTGTGTGGTCAAGAGAACAAAGGTAGTACAATGGAGAGCTAGAACTGTAGGAACTACGGGGAGTTAACAGGGATTACAGAGAGAGTGTGAGAGAATCACTTTATACATACATGTACATGTTAACTACTTTCTATACTGTGGAACAACAAAAATCAGAACTATTCATGTTTGTGTTACCTACTTGGGATTTAGGGAGGCTCACTGTATATATTTACTTCAGTGTAATGTCACGGATGTCGGTGTAGCTGCCACTCCCTCTATAACAACTTCCCTGACCCATGGAAACATATCAGATGATGACTGAGCTAGGAAAATGTGACATATTTGATTTACAATTTTCTATATTTCTTGAACGAATATTAGTTTTCTATATTTATATACTGGCTAGTGAGAGTTTTAACAAACACCTGCTTATTCTGGTATAAAAACAAATATCAGTGCCTATTGCTATTACCTCTCTTAAGGGTATTCAGGGGTGAAGGATTGTTGTTGTTAAAAAACCCTGATTGAAGAATTTTGTAATAAGATAAATGCAGTGTAAAATATATCCATGCCTGAAACTGATTTCTTGGGTATTTTTCATTGTGGTATAGTGTTAATTACAGCATTATTGCTGTTCCTATATTTTTAATTTTATTTTTCTGCACACTTAAGGATCATTTCTACTTCTAATATACAACAAATTGATACATCCTCATCCTCCTTCATGTTTCATAAACAGCAGACCCTATTGTTAAATAGCTATAGATGTACTTGATGTAAATTCCTCCATGTATAAGACAGTGTGGTGTTACTAAGGCTATAAAAGTATATGTTAATTCTCAGTCTATATATTATTATCTATTTTCTCTTAGGTACTGATGGAAATCTTCTGAAGCCAAAATTACCTATTATAACATCAAGAAAGATAGAATTCCCAAACAAATATGTGTCTCCTAAGCAGGCCTGGGTGGAGACACTGTCCACCATTGAGAGTCAGAAGTATGGCATGGTGGACCTGCACCCAGATATATTTGGTACATACCCTAGGTCAGTATAACATAATGTTTCAGCATGTCATTTTTAGCAAAGAATTCACGTTACAAATGTATCGAGCCTAAAAAGGTGAATGTATTTCAATCTATAAAAACTGACTCCTTCAGTAAGGTGAAAAGGATTTTAATTTCATTTACATGTAGTCTGTAACATCCTGTGGCCATGGAGCTTCATCATTGTATAAACAGAAGGCGTTGCCCCCTTAGAGGTGGATGGGTCGTGCCCAATAGGGAAAATATATGTAAACTTTCAAAATATTTGATATTGCATTGGCTGTAAATAGATATAGTCATTCTGGACCATTTAAAAGATGTATGCATTTCTTCACAGGTTAGATGTCCTCCAACGTAATGTAAAATGGCAGAGATTGTATAGACACATTGTAAGTTTTTATTTTTCTGGCTCAATTTGCTCACATGAAACATGAACTTTTTGCAAATTTTTTCAGTGTTTTCAAATATGTACATGTAGGATGAAAAGAAAGGTTGTATATCTATCTGAGTTGTGCCATTTGACATCATCCAGAGTATTTTGCATAGTGTAACATGCATATATATATATATAGGGTAAATCCAATATTGACCATCTCTGTGGGAAAGGGCTGACACAACATTTGTACCTTTGTGAGGAAAATAAGTATCACTAAAGCAGATGTAGACAAATTAGATTCAAACAGTATGCTTGCTTTAGCTTACACTGTTGATACCTTAGAAGGAATGAGGATAATAAAGATGATTGCTATCCGATATAAACTAATACATTGTACTGCAGGATTATGCACAAACTAAGACACGAGCAGAAGTGAGAGGTGGCGGCCATAAGCCTTGGATTCAGAAAGGTCGTGGCAAGGCCAGGCATAGTTCTATACGCTCCCCACTGTGGAAAGGTGGTAAGTATTCAGTTTCCTGTACACCTATATGGAGTGCATTTGGTTTATCAGTTATCCAATTCAATCTAATTGAAATTACATCTTCACACCCCTCACATTTACTGATATGCTGCTTGACATATCAGTAATCAGGAGCGATGTGAAGATATAATTCTAATTAGATTGTCAGTTATCAAGTTTCTCTCCGACCTACAAAAGCAGTCAACGGTATATATTTGTCCAGGTTCCTCCAGACTTTTTAAACAAGAAACATTCTTGGACTCCTTTCCAAATTTCCTGTCATATATGTTTAAAAAAATAATTTTGTTTGTTTCAGCTATATTTTTATCAAATAGTACATAATTATAATATCTCAATTTAAAATTAAAGAAAATTGTATTTTGATATGGCAAGAAAAACTAAAGTTGAATTTACATCTTCATGATAGATTATTTCTAGACCCTGTGATCTGACCTAACCAGAATTTGCAGTGTTCTCCCCAGAATGTTTTGAAAGAAGCATGGTATTTCAATATTTCTGTTAAAGCAGCACTCAATGTAAAATCAAAGCAGCATGGTAACTTTAGATTTACTATGAATAAATAGCAGAGAAGATCTAGGATAGCAGCATGGATTTTATCGATGATCAGTGATACAGTGACATATTATTATTGAGATATCAAAAGTGATAGCTGACATACAACTTAACCAATAGTTACCCTGACAAGTTATTACTCCTTAACTTTGTTGTAAGGGTAAAAATTACAAAGTTGCCATTCATGGTACTGATGGTACATAATTATGGCTTCACGTAATGAATGATTAATCAAGTGTTGGAAAAATAACTCTGACAAGTTTTGCTTTCCATTGTGTTTTACAGGAGGAGTAATAAATGGTCCCCGTGGTCCAAAAAGTCACTTCTTTATGCTGCCAACTGAGTACAGAGCCATGGGGCTGCGAGTGGCTCTCTCTGTTAAGTATGCTCAGGATGACCTGCACATTGTTGACTCCCTGGATATACCTGATGATCGTCCCGAGGTAGGTGTCAGAAGTAATAACTGATGGCCTTTTGCAGTTTAGTAACTCTGATTGTACTGAAATACTACTTACACAGAGAGTAAAGCCTGATAAGTTATACTTACTTACAAGTCTATGGTAATACAAACAGTGTTAATAACTTACTTACAAGTCTATGGTAATACAAACAGTGTTATAAGCCCACCATTATCTGATAATCCGTCGTTTGTCCGTCCGTCCATCCCTCTGTTGTCAGTAGTCCATCTGTCATCCTTTCATCTGTGCAACAGGCAGCCATCTTGGATTATGACAGTGAAGGTTTGTTATCGCTATTTCTCAGGAAGTGCTGGATGGATCTTTCTCAAATTTGTGAAGTTAGTTTCCCTTGGTCCTTAATTGTGCATGTTTAACTTATGAGACTGATGGTGTTCAAAAAATGGTGGACAAGTGCACGTGGCCATCTTGGATATTGACAGTTAAAATTTGATATCGCTAATTCTCAAATGTGATGTACGTTCCCCTTGGTCCTTAGTATTGCATGTTTTATTTTTTAGAGTGATCATAAAAACAAGAACAGATCTTTCTCATATTGCAGCTTCGGTTCTATTTCTTTCACATTAAGTAATGCACTAGTAAATATGTGAAACAACAAATGCAAACTCACTTTGAAGGTTGTCTTTTATACACAGCAGTATGAAGTTTAGATCAAAAGATACCTCAAGGTGCATTTACTGATTACATAACTTGATCAAACAGATAAGAGAAAAAATTGAACTGACATAGAACAAATGAAGATGGTGCAATGGTGGGCACCAAGATCTCGCTGGGATCTCTTTGTATTGATATACCCACTGACAAGTCTAAGTCAATACACCTTAGGTAACACACAGATTACTGAAGTAAATGTTGTCCTGTCATGAATATTTAGATAATCCAGTTGGATATGTACCACTTAACTGTAGGTATTGGAAATCACCAAAATTTAGAAGATAGGATCGTCAAATACCAAAATTGGATGCACCAAAAGACTAAATGCCAAAATATCTCTTAGTACAGTCATTTCTTCAAATCGTTTTCACATTTATTTCCAGTACCTTCAAGATTTGATGGACACAAGATTTTGGGGATTTTCCTGTCTCTTTGTGGATGAGTAAGTGTGAAATTTTACTCGTTTATTCTGAATATCCGTCAATGATAGGGATTGCCCGATTGGTGGATGAGCAAATGTGGAATTCTACTGATTCTCTTTCTGAATATCAGTCATTGATTGGGATTCTACTAGCTTTTTGTGAACGAGTGTGATATTGTTATGTCTATTTCTGAATATCAGTCGGTGTATTGTTAATGTGTTAGAATGCTTGTTTGGGTTTACACGATTTTTGACAATACAAGCATTTGTTTGACAGTTATGCCCATCCAAACTATTTCCCCATGGTTTTGTGATAAACTTGACAAACTGTTGAATGAGGCCAATGAGCATCCTGAAATGGTTCAAAGGTGAATCGTCCAAGTAGAGCAATGGAGGCAGTTATCGACAGTCTAAGCTTCAAATTTGTTTTTCCAGTTTACCGTTTTGCGTAAGTTATTTTATGATGGCATTTCGAAGAAGTCGGGAAACGTACTCTATTTCATCATCTGCAATAAACGTACATGTGACGAATCGCGGGAGAAATCATTGTTTTGAGGTAGTTATCGACAGCTAAGTTAAAATGTTAATTATTTCTATTATTAATCTCTAATAATACATTCATTTGTTCTGACGTGTGCCCAATTGCTTAAAAAAGGTATAAACATGTCAAGTCATAAATGTAAACAAACACGCTCCCTTTTCTGCACGCATGCGCAAACAGTCACCGTCACAGCATTTTGATCAAACACATTTTTAGGTCACCTGAGACAAAGTCTCAAGTGACCTATTGCGATCGCCTTTTGTCCGTCGTCGTCCGTCGTCCGTCGTCCGTCGTGCGTCCGTAAACAGTTTACATTTTCGACTTCTTCTCCAAAACCCCTGAACCAATTTCAATGAAATTTTGCAGGGACCTTCAATGGACAAAGGTCAACAAAAATAGTTGCCGGTTTAGTCCTAAGCCCCCAGGGGCCTGAGGGGCGGGGCCAAAAAGGGTCAAATTGACTAAAATTTCAAAAATCTTCTTCTCCAAAACCCCTGAACCAATTTCAATGAAATTTTGCAGGGACCTTCCAT